GGCCCTGACCCCGCCGGACGGGGGCCGCCTGCTGGGACCCCGCGGGCGCCTGGCCCCTAAGCAGCCGCGTCTCTGGAAACCGGGTGCCAAATAGCAGGAGCTCAGAGGGACCAGGAAAGACTTTCCAGGAGGCAGGACCTTTGGGCAGGATCTCCAGGGACTGGGCAGGACTCTGACAGGGGAGAGGTCGTTCCGATCTGAAGAAAGTGTGTGGACACAGTTAGGAAAGTGCAAGCAGGCTCCAGCGAGCCTGGGAAGTGAGGTGTGGGCTTCGGCGGACTCGGAAATAGCTGGTGTGGGCCAGGTATTTGCACTCTCTATAACCTAGGATTTTAGGGGGCTGATTGGTGGCTGGGATGAGGGATTGGAATGAGATGAGGCTGAAGACAGGTCAGTAAGGGGCAGGGGTCCCCAGAAGTCTGCAGATGGTCTGAGTTAGCACAGGGACAGTAGGGACAATGCAGTCGGGACAGGCTGGCAACGCACTGGGAGGAGGAATCAGGACTGTTTCCACTGGGACGCAGGGAGGGAGGATTTGAAGACTGAGGTCAGATTTCTAGTGTAAATCGTGATTGGAAAGATTTGCAGTGAAGTAACTGAAAGGGGAGGGAAATGGTGAGTTTAGTTTCGCAGGTGTGAAGCTTGAAGCATGGGCAGGATACCCATATGGAGATGTCAAGTAGGAAGTTCATTCACTTATTTATTATTTATACCAGCCTCAAAGGCAGCTTACATAAACATCACAGAGGAGAGAAAATGACAAAACTGTGAAAACTCAGCTAAAAGGACCTGATACCTAGGGGGGAAAATGCAGAGGGGAGAGGATAATTATTACTGAAAAAACATTGAAAGCCACTGAAAATGAACACAGGACTCACCTGAACTTGCTGGCAGCCAAGCCAAAAGAGGACACCTAAATAAAGCAATTCACTTGGCTGACACTCAGGAGGAAGACATTCCTGAAGCTCCAGGGGAGAGGCAGGAGGTGGTTGGAGGTAAAATGGGATCACTCCTCCAATGGGAGATAAAGGAGAGGGAGGAGATCTGAAGGCCAGGCCAGGACTTTGGCGACACTGACATTTAAGGAAAGGCTGATGCTCTCCTGAGGAGGAAGACCTTCCTTCGCCTGTACAGGGAGGTGGGAGTGAGGTGTGTGTGTGGTCCATTCACACCATTCTTTTTGCAGGGAACCGGGATAGACGGTGGTGTGCTAAAGCCCTGGGATCTGACCTTCTCTTCTGCCATGAGGTGGAGCCACCATTTGCCCAGGGCCTTTTGGGGCCCTCGCCTGGCAAGAGCACTCCAGCCAGCAGGTTAGTGGGAAGCAGGGGTTTCTGTTTCCACCTCTTTCCCTTCAGATGGTGCCTCTAAGAGGGCAGGGGTTCAGACACCAGGTGTGCCAGTTCCAGCTCTGTGATTCACTAGCTATTGGCCTTGGGCAAGTCACCTCAGCTCTCTAGCTTCCTTTTTCCCATCTTAAAATAAGAGAGTCGGACTAGATGATCGTTGAGGGTCCCTGTAGCTACATAAGTACACTTGTCTGATTTCATTTTGCATTCAACAAATATTTTTTGAGTGCCTGCTGTGTGCCAAGTATGTAACTGTGCCAAGTTCTAAGTATATAATTGCATACAAAAACAGGTGTGATCCTGCTCTTATGGTGGGGTGGTGGTGGAAATGAATGTTAATCAAATAATCACATAATAAAATATAAAATTGCACAATAACTGCTACAGAGGGTGGTACATGATGCTGTAAGAGCAAATAAGGGGGGATTTGATGTAGGCGTGGGGTCTGTATTGGTGGGAAATATGGATGGGATGCTATGTCTCCCTTTTCCTTTCTCTCTGTAGATGAAAGTATCCCTTTCGTGATCCACTGGAACTGGGCCCTTAAAGGGGAGTGTCCTCTTGGGCCCCCTAGGTGAGGCCTTGGTGTCATACCTTAGGATATATCTGGGTATAGCAGAGTAGCCTGGGAAGGGTCAGGACTTGGAGAGAGCTTGATCTTCTGGAGGTGCGGAGGGCAGAGTCAGCTACCAGGCTTAAGAGGAAGTTGGCTTACATCATTTACAGTACAAGTCACAGTGGTCAGCCAGTGGGAGGATCTGTGGGAGGTGGGTGGAGTCTGGCATTGACCTGGCTGAGTTCCAGACAGGCAGCTGTGGGGAGCTGGAGGGCTAGGGGTGAGACCTCAGTCCCTGGGAAGGGTGAGAGTCAGAGTCTTGACTTGGGTGTTCAGGGTTGGGCCTGGATCTCAGGAAGCCAGAAGTTCATCATTCCAAACAGGCCTGGACTCCAAGTTTGAAAATGAACACAATTAATTATCATCTGAGCTAGTAGCCAAGCCCCAGCTCATCCCTTCTTCTCGCTCCCAGGGCCTTTATACGTCACTACGGAAGCTCAGTGGGCAGTGTTCCCCCATCAGGGAGGCATGAACAGTTGTTCCGGAGCATCTCTGCGGCTGGTAAAAAGGAGAGGGGCCTGAGGGGAGGGGCTGGCTGGGGTCCCAGTGGGGCTCGAGTTGGGAGAGGGGCCTGGAGGAGAAGCAGGCAGGAAGAGAGGCATAGGGGACCCGCTGACATCGTCCATCAGGCCCGCCCTCCCTCACCCCGTCATCCATCTGTCCATGCATCTCTTCCTGTAACACTCAAGCAATGCACAGTGTGTACAAAGCCCTGGGAGGGATGTACTGTCTCTACCTTCAACCAACTGGGTGTAGAGGTCAGGTAAAGATTGCACTTAGATATGATCGTGAAGCCAGTCAGCCCCGGCTCAGCATCACTCATCCCGTGGCTCCCCACTTTCTGCAACAGGGATTCCAAACTTTCTGGACACTGTATTTTCTGAGGGAGTCCTGTGTGCAGCACCATTCTGGGTCTCAGCATCTCTGGTGCTGTCTTGACTCTGCAGCCTGACCCTACGACCACCCTGACTGGCCCTAAGCTCCTGCCTTTCCTGGTCCCTTCCCCTGGCCCAATCCCTTTGCCTTCCCATCCAGAAGCCATCCAGCGGCACCGTCGGAACCTGGCCGAGTGGTTCAGCCGGCTGCCCAGGGAAGAGCGCCAGTTTGGCCCTACCTTTGCACTAGACACGGTCCATGTGGACCCTGTGATCCGTGAGAGCACCCCCGATGAGCTTCTTCGCCCACCTTTGGAGCTGGCTCTGGGGCATCAGCCGCCCCTGGCCAGGCTCCCCACACTGGCCTTGTCTCAGCTCTTTGACCCAGATGCCTGTGGGCGCCAGGTGCAGACAGTGGTTCTCTATGGAACCGTGGGCACAGGCAAGAGCACTTTGGTGCGCAAGATGGTTCTGGACTGGTGTTATGGGCGGCTGCCAGCCTTTGAGCTGCTCATCCCCTTCTCCTGTGAGGACCTGTCATCCCTGGGCTCTGCGCCGGCCTCCTTGTGCCAACTTGTGTCGCAGCGCTACACATCCCTGAAGGAGATTCTGCCCCTGATGGCTGCAGCTGGGTCTCGCTTGCTGTTTATACTTCATGGCCTGGAGCGTCTCAACCTAGACTTCCGGCTGGCAGGCACAGGGCTTTGCAGTGACCCTGAGGGGCCAGAGGCGCCAGCTGCCATCATAGTCAACCTGCTGCGTAAATACCTGCTGCCTGAGGTAGGTGCTCCCACCCCTCCCTACCGTCTCTGTCTGTGATTTTCCACCTAAGAGTTTTTGTATCCTAGGCCTGCATATTTCTTGGGTAGGAGAGGCCCTGGGCTAGTTCAGATCCTGGCCCCACCACTTCCCAGCTGTGTATCTTTGAGCAAGTCCCCAACTTCCCCAAACTTCTGTTTTCTTCTTGAGTTGTGCCGATCAAACGAGGTACTGAACGTAAACTGCCCGGCACGGTGTGTGGGCTCGTAGCAGGTGCACAGTACTTGTTAGTTATAATCATTACAATCATCATCATTTTCATTCTTGGACACTCAATTAATTATCAGGCGCTCCCTGGGGAGGGAGGCAGTCAGAATAGCTTAACCCTCAACTCTGCTCTTCCCAGGCCAGCATTCTGGTGACCACCCGGCCCTCTGCCATCGGCCGCATCCCCAGCAAGTATGTGGGCCGCTATGGCGAGATCTGTGGCTTCTCTGATACCAACCTGCAGAAGCTCTATTTCCAGCTTCGCCTCAATCAGCCAGACTGTGGGCACAGTGCTGGGGATGCAGGTGTTGCAGCCACGTCTGCTCAGCATGACAGCCTGGTGGAGATGCTCTCCAGGAACCTGGAAGGACACCACCAGATTGCCGCTGCCTGCTTCCTGCCCTCCTACTGCTGGCTTGTCTGTGCCACCTTGCACTTCCTGCACGCCCCCACCCCGGCTGGCCAGACCCTCACAAGCATCTACACCAGCTTCCTGCGTCTAAACTTCAGTGGGGAGACGCTGGACAGCAGTGACCCCTCCAAGTTGTCGCTGATGGCCTATGCAGCCCGCACCATGGGCAAGTTGGCCTATGAGGGGGTGTCTTCCCGCAAGACTTACTTCTCTGAAGAGGACGTCCGTGGCTGTCTGGAAGCTGGCGTCAGGACGGAAGAGGAGTTTCAGCTGCTACATGTCTTCCGCCGGGATGCCCTGAGATTTTTTCTGGCCCCGTGCGTGGAGCCAGGGCACCTGGGCTCCTATGTGTTCACGGTGCCGGCCATGCAGGAGTACCTGGCTGCCCTCTACATTGTGCTGGGCTTGCGTAAGACGACTCTGCAGCGGGTGGGCAAGGAAGTGGCTGAACTCGTGGGCCGTGTAGGGGAGGATGTCAGCCTTGTCCTGGGCATTGTGGCCAAGCTGCTGCCGCTGAGGGTCCTGCCTCTGCTCTTCAACCTGCTTAAGGTAACAACAGCTCCTGGACCCTAGGCTGTCAGCCTCCTACTCCCCAGGCTGCTCTTGCTCCTCTCGGGAGGAACTGCTGCTTCCTGCATAGGGGTGAATCCTCTTTCGGCTTTGGTTTCAGACTGGGCAGGGCGGCCTTAGTGGGGCTGTGGCATAAGGAGGGGGAGAGAGAAGCCACAGGCTGGGGAAGGAGTGGAGGCTGGGAGGGGAATTTGAGGGTGCAGGGACTTGAATGACAATCCTGCAACCCTAAGATGGCTTTCTTTCGCATCTCCCCTCCCAGGCTTTGTTTCTGGGAGGCAGCTGCCATAGTTCAGGTTCTGACCTCTGCTTTGCAGGCCCAGATACCCGGCTGTATCTTTTCCCCAGAGGTGATTAGACTCCAGGAACAATGACTCATCTTAACTGAATAACCAGAGGCAGGTTTTTAAAGGAGATGCCATTTTATTCGTTTACCCCAGGAGGATAAGTGCATTGGTAATTGGCTTAGGACAGTCCACCCAGGGTGCAGGTCTGCTTCAGAGCCGCATTACAGGCCTGAGAACTGTGCTGTGAGCAGGGCGGGTGCTCTAAGCATTTGAGGGGAAGGATTCACTGCCTGCTGATGTCTGCAGGGTGCCTTGAAAATGAAGTACTATTATGATCTCTTTTATAGATGAGGAAACCGAGGCTCACAGAGGCTAAGGAACTTGTCTAAGGCCACTCAGATAGTAAATAAAATAGCTGGGATCTGAGCTCAGGTTTCATGATTCTGAATCCTGTCTCTTTCTGCCAAACTTTACTGATGTATTGTGGATATTTGTCAAGCTACGGTGCCTTTCTAGGTAACCCTTTTCCTCTCTAGGAATGTTTTAGTAACTGGTCCTGAGGAGGCAGAGCCCTGGTCAATGTGCAAAATTTCAGCAAGTTTTCCATTTTGTAGGCATCGAAGCATAAAGGTTGAGAACAGGGATTCAGTAATGCCGCTACCTGGGTTGAAATAAAGGCTCTACTCTTAACTAGCTGTGTGACCTTTGAGAGCTTAAGTTGCTTAACCTCTCTGTGCCTGAGAGTCCTTATCTCTTAAATGGGGATAATAGTAGAATCTAGATCATTGGCCTTATAGGAGGATTAAATGTATTCATCCTCAGGGCCTGGCACATAGTAAGTGCTATTTAATTGTTAAACATAAAAACAGGGTCAGGCAGCCCACTCCTTCTCACACCATCACCTCAGACAGGGAGGTAATGGCCATTGCTGAGGCTACACCACCCCTTTAAGGATGTTCTTGCCTTATCCAGATTGCAGTGAGAGGCTGTGGTCCCCTAACAGGATCCAGAAAGCCCTCCATTATTATAGAGTGCAGCAAGGTTATTAGCACCACACTCCCAAACCCTCTCGGAGGGAGGGTTGCCTAGCAGAGGACAGTTCCATCTGCTGCTTCATGATCATACTGATTCAGCTTCCCAGGGTAACATTTTCTCATCCCAATACCAGATTGGTGTTGGGGGGAAGAGCACTATAATGTTCATGGCAGGAACTTCACCTATAAAAAGTGAAAAAATGCCTGCCTGGGGTGGCTCAGCGGTTGAGCATCTACCTAAGATCCAGGAGATCGCAGTTCAGTTCCCAGCCAGGGCACATGCCCGGGTTGCAGGCTCGATCCCCAGTAGGGGGCGTGCAGGAGGCAGCCAATCAGTGCCTCTCTCATCATTGATGTTTCTCTCTCCCTCTCCATCTCTCTCTGAAATCAATAAAAACTTATTTTTTAAAAAAAGGTGAAAAAAAGTGAAACCAGACATTAGAGAAGGTGCCACAAAACCACCTTGTACGACCAGAGGAAGGGGCCTCCTTTCCTTTCAGAACCATTGCAAGGATGAGGGGTGGTGCTGTAAACGTCCCCAGCATTCATTTCTTCAATGAATATTTGAGTGCCTGCTGTGTGCCAGGCACTATGTTAGATTCTGAGAAAAAACAGTTAACAGAACCCCAGGTTCTGCCTTTTCTAATCATACAGTCTGAATACAAACCTGTCAGCATAACCATGTAATTAAAAAGTATGGTACATGCCTGTGAAGTAGAGGTCTGGGTGCTGAGAGTGTGCAGTGGGCATCTGGTTTGAGGAATAAGGAAAACCTCTCTGCAGGAGGGCAGGTAGTCTGATCCCTGGAGGATTAGCCAGAAAGGGAACCGAGTGGAAGCACCTCAGAAAATATATAACTCTGAAGGAGGAGAAACTTTGGCACTGGAGAGAGAGAAGCATAAATGACAGAAGCAGAGTGAGTGAGGGTGAGAGGCCTTGATGGACTTGCCAAGGGACCAAGTGACGCAGGGTGTTGTAGTAGGAGTGACATTAGTCGTCATTGCTCTGTGATGATGGTGAAGATGGAGATGTGTTTATAATGCTAGCTGGCTCCAAACTAACTGCATGGCATAT